AATTCAGGAGTAATTTCTATATAAAGAAGGAAAGTGTTGCAGAAGACCGGAGAAAAACCACCCAAGCTTAGAGAAAGGGAGTTATTTTATTATTAAATTCTGTGCAGGCCCAGAGAAAAATGTGTCTTTCAAATTCTGGGCCCCCCAACATGGAGGAAACTCTCTTTATTTATACTTTTTCCAGTCCTTTGTCTCCCAAATTTGGAATGAGACTTCCAGGCCTTCTGAAAAAGAAGGCCTCCGTACTGGGAAGGGGCCATAAGACCATATCTCAAGGCCTGGCGTGGTGTCAGCACTGACAGCTCTGTCTGGGGCATAGTTTAAGGCCTCTCTGGAATGGGAGTAGTCTTATTTTCCTTATTATTTAAGCAAGCAAGCATTTACAGAAGCCATACTGTCAGGGTTAAAATTTCAAACATCAGATTTTATATAAGATCGATGCTTCAAAAGAATCTATACAGTGTCAGAAATTTAAATCACATTGTGCTTTAGCTGAATATTTAAGAGAAAATATATATGTAAGAAAATAATTTTAAGTATTTTTATTGTTATTTGCAAATTAATCACTGAGATTACCTTTACTAATAATACATACTCATTAAATTGTTTTGTTCTGGGTGTGCTTTTAAAATTTAAAGTCTAATTAAACAGTCATTTATGGTTGCACAAATATACTTCCCCATGGCCCCCACGACCAAAAAAACCTTGATTTAGCTGATTTCTACATTTTATTTTTATTTCAAATTAGTGACTTGGAAAAACCACTGATTAATATATATTTTTAAAATCTTGTAGCTAACCCGTAATATTGTAAAATAAGTGTTCAGTTCATTGCTGAGCAAATTCTAGTGTTAAATATCATTTTTTTTCAGAAATAGTACCACAAAAGACCTCTGAGAAGTGGCATAAATCTCTGAAAAGTAATCAAGGATAAGAAAATTATCTTCCCTTTCTTCTCTCTGGGGTGTCCAACGATGTTAATGTTCTTCTCTACAGGGTTGTCATATTCAGCTGAACTGAGCTTGAAAATGAACTTTTATTACATTTATGTTTTAAATTGGTTGTGTAGAGTTTAAAGTCTCAAAATATAGAGAAATAACATTATAGGACATTGAAAATATTTTTAAATATACTGAATATCATAATATATTTAGTTATTATACAAAAATAGTTATTTTTCTTTTCTTAACCTTTTTTTAAAATTTTATTTTATTTTTAAAGTATTACAAATAGTAGTACATATGTCTCCTTTTTTCCCCATTGACCTCACCTACCCCCCGGCACATGCTCTCACCCAATATCTTGCGTCCATTGGTTATGCTTATATGCATGCATACAAGTCCTTTGGTTGATCTCTTACCGCCTCACCAACCCTCCCCTGCATTCCCGCTGTAGTTTGACAGTCTGTTCGATGCTTCTTTGCCTCTGTATCTATTTTTTGTTCATCAGTTTATAATGTTCTTTATATTCCACAAATGAGTGACATCATGTGGTATTTATCTTTCACTGACTGGCTTATTTAACTTCAATGAAAATATTGAGCATGATTAGAAAATCAGTTTTCTAGGGCCTTATAAATTAAGTATTAATGTTGATATTTTATTTATAAAACAATTTGGGCTTATAGCTTTCTTTATTTGTAGAATAAAGATATAACCTACACAGAGTAAAACTTACTCTTTGGATCCTTATAGTGATGGAATTATTCTGCATCTTGTTAGCATCATTGTCAATATTGGGATATTATAACATAGTTTTTATAAGATGTCACCATGGGAGAAACTGGGTGAAGGGTAAACAGGATCTCTGTAGTATTCCATATAGCTGCAATAAATTTGCAGTAGTCTCAAAATACAGAGTTTAAGAAAAATTACTCTTTTTCACATATAGTTTTGCAATCTTTGACAAATGCATACAGTCTTAAAACCATCACCATCATCAAGATATTAAAAGTTCCATCACTACCTTCCAAATTTCCCCATTATAAGTTAACTAGAGGCCCAGTGCATGGGGGGGGGGGCGGTCCCTCAGCCCAGCCTTCACCCTCTCACAGTCCGGGAGCCCTCGGGGGATGTCAGACTGCCGGCTTAGGCCTGGGGAGCAGGCCTAAGCCATCAGTCGAACATCCTTAGTGCTGCTACGGAGGCAGGAAAGGCTCCTGCCACTGCCGCTGCACTCTCCAGCCATGAGCCCGGCTTTTGGCTGAGCAGCGCTCCCCCTGTGGGAGTGCACTGACCACCAAGGGGCAGCTCCTGCATTCAGCATCTGCCCCCTGGTGGTCAATGCGCATCATAGCGACTGGTCATTCCACAGTTTGGTTGACTTGCATATTACCCATAGACAATTACCAATCTGCTTTCTGGCCCTATGCTTGCCTTTTCCACAATGTAAATAGACTTTAGCATATATAATCTTTTGAGTTTGGCTTCATTTACTTTGTGTAGTAAATTTGAGATTCATCCTTATTGTTGCATGTATCAATAACTTTTTAAAAAATTGCTGAGTAGTGTTCTATTTTATAATGGTGCCATGGTTTGTTTGGTCCCCAATCAAGGGGCATTTGGGTTATTTCCTGTTTAATTCATCAGTAAGGGATAAAGCCACCATAAATATTTATGTACAGGTTTTATGTGAACATTAGCATTTATTTCACTTGAGTAAATACGAAAGAAGTGGGATTGTTTCGTCATGTGGTAAGTTTAAGTTTCCCTTAATGAAAAACCTCCAAAATGTTTTCCAATGTGTTTGTACCATTTTGCATACCCATTAGCAATGTATGAGAGCTCCAGTTGCTTTGTATATACCCATTATTGTTACTGCCAGCATTTTTTATTTTAGCTCTACTAATGGGCATATAGTAGTATCTCATTGTGGTTTTAACTTGCATTTCCCTAATAACTAATGATATTGATCATCTTCTTATGTATTTATGTCTTTGTATATGTGTCTGTTCAGATCTTTCTTCCATTTAAAAAATTGTTTTCTTATTATTGAATTTCTGAGTGTTTTTAATATACTCTGAAGTACAAGTTATTTGTCAGATATGTGATTTGCAAATGTTTTCTCTCAATGTATAGCTTCTTTTACACTTACTGAATGGTAACTTTTGAAAATCAGTTATTTCCATGAAGTTCAGTTTTTAACATTTTTCTTTTATAAATTATACTTTTGATGTTGTATCTAAGAAATTCTTTCCGAATCCAAGATCACAAATATTTTCTCTTATATTACTTCTGGAAATTTTACAACTTTAAGTTCTACATTTCACATCTAGTTCTGTGATTCATTTTGAATTAATGTTTATATATAGTTTGAGGATATATTTTTATATCAATATCCTATTGTTCTGGCACCATTCATTGAAAAGACTGACATTTCTTCATGAATTGCTTTTAAGCCTTTGTCAGAAATCAATCCACATTATATAGCCAGTTTCATTATAATGCAACACCTGTGATCTTAAAAATTATTGCATTATGCATTATTGCATAATAAAAAGAATAGGGCTTATGGCAAAAATAAGGTTAGAGGCTTAGCAGTAATCTAAGTAACCAGTGACACATTTGAGAAATATAGGAAATGAATAAAAATGATAGCATTGTTTTACATGTTCTAAATTATTAAGGTTACATAAATACTACAATAAGGATGCTACCTTAACTTGAAAAATCCTTAAATTTGCTTGTAGAATTAATGTAAGAAAGTTTGTAGTTTGTACATTATTATAAAGTAGTGGAGGGTAGATTATATGGAATTGAGAGGAAAGTGTAGCACTACAGGTCAACAGAATGGCTCATAACACACATGATGACCTGAAATAGTTGGTAGATGTTTGTGGTGTGTGTATGTATGTATTTCTACTTGGCTTGGATCAGCTAGGTGCAATTTTTTAGTGTTTTATCTAGGGCTTCTTGCAAACAAAATTGCACATGAAATTTGAGATTCAAATATGTGTTATCTTCAAATTGCTTCCTAATGTATCAATTCCATTGGATAAAATTTGAATTTATAAAACAAACATTATAGCAGAACTGACTGTATGTGTCAGTCTATTCTTGAATGCTGTCCTGTTCATTTATTTATATCTATATGTCTATCTTTTCTTCAATACCACACTGTCTTGATTATTGTAGGTTTATAATAAGTACGGAAGTTAGTTAATGTAAGTCCTTTGAATTTGTTATTCTTTTTCAAAATTGTTTGGCTATTCTATTGTCTTTTAATATAAATTTTAAATTCAACTTATTGATTTCTAGAAAATAAATCTTGCTAAGAATTTTATTAAAGTTTAATTGAATCTTTAGATCAGTTTGGGGGGAATTGACATCTTTAACAGAATTGATTCTTCCAAACCATACACATAGTATATCTCTCCATATACTTAGATCTACTTTGTTTTCTTTCATCAATGTTTCAAGTTTTCGTTGTACAGATTTGCATATACTTTGTATATTTAGACCCGTGAATTTCAAGGGTGTGTTTTTGTTTTGTTTTGTTTTGATTTTTTGGCAGTATTATAAATGGTACTTTTAAAATTTCAACTTCTAATTTTTCATTGCTAACACATAGAAATAAGATTATTTTTTATGTATTGATACCTTTAGTTCTTTGAAGGCATTAAACAAAAATGGAAAGACACCAAAGCCAAAGCAAAATAAACTTTTTCAATATTTTAAAAAGTTTAAGTTATTACCTCTTTTTTGTCTTACATTTTAAACACTATGACAGCTTTGCTTTAATTATTTTTGTCTCAAAATTGTTGAGTGATATTCAAGTATAGACATGAAAATATGTTTTGAGATGATATGTAACTGAGAAATCTTTAAATGCTCTTATTATTAAATACAGCCTATTTTCCATTATTTGTATCATAGCTTAAGAGTAATTACAGTCCATCCATGAATAACTTTAAGGTTTAAATACATAATTTTGTTTCTTTTGGTATTTTCTATTTTTTGAAGATCTTCAGATATATTTTTTGTGTAACAATGTTATTACAGATTTTGGACTCAGCAAAGAATCAGTAGATCAAGAAAAAAAGGCCTACTCATTTTGTGGTACAGTGGAGTATATGGCTCCTGAAGTAGTAAATAGGAGAGGTCATTCCCAGAGTGCTGATTGGTGGTCATATGGTGTACTTATGGTAAGTAGTGCTATTTTAAAAAATTCTGCTAATATAAAATTAATACTGCTTAGAACTTTAATTTATTATCTATCCATTTTTAATACAAAAGAAAATATAGAATTTTAATTTAAAATTTGTGAGATTTCAGGTGAGAATAGAGTTCTAATAATTCATGATTATCATTTAAAAAGTTGTGTTTGGCTAGCTGTTATACAATATGAATTAGGATTTTGGTGTTCTGATTTCTTTTTTTTTCAATTTAGTAATATTTATTTATTTATTTAAAAATGTTAATGTTCACATAATTGCAGGTCCCCTAGACTCCCTCACTTTGCCCACCTCCACCCATCTTTGCCTCCCCCTCCCTTGGCCTTCATCACCCTATTGTCTGTGTCCATGGAGTGTGCATATATATTATTTAGCTAATCCCTTCCCCTTCTTTATCCAGTCCCCCTCCCCGCCTCTTCACAGGCACCAACCAGACTGTTCCATGTATCTATGATTCTGGTTCCATTTTGTTTGTCAGTTTATTTTTTTCATTAGATTCCAGATGGTATTTGTTTTTCTCTGACTGGTTTATTTTGTTTAGCCTAATACTCTCCAGGTTCCTCCATGCTATTGGAAAGAGTAAGAGTTCCTCCTTTTATATAGCCATGTAGCATTCCATTGTGTAAATGTACCACAGCTTTATTATCCACTCATCTGCTGATGGCACTTGGGCTGTTTCCAGATCTTGGCTATTGTAAATAATGCTGCAATAATCATAGGGGTGCATATATTCTTTCTGCTCGGTGTTTTGAGATTCTTAGGATATAGTCCCAGAAGTGGGATTGCTGTGTCAAAAGGCAGTTCCATTTTTAATTTTTAGAGGAAACTCCATACTCTTTTCTACAGTGGCTGCATAAGTCTGCAGTGTGATCAACAATGCACTAGGGTTCCCTTTTCTCTATATCCTTGCCAGTGCTTTTTGTTTATTGGTTTAGTGATAGTAGATACAGAAAACAAAGTGGTGGTTACCTGACGGGAGGTTGGTGGTGGATGGGTGAAAAAGGTGAAGGGGATTAAGAACTACAAAAAATAAGTCATGAGTGTGTTATAACACATACAACATAGGGAATGTCAATAATATCAGAATAACTTTGTACAATGATATATGTTTACTTTTAAGGTATATAAATGTTTATCATGTGATATATCTGAAACTAATTTAAGGTAGTATTTTAACTATAATAAAAATATAAAAAATCTACCAGTTTTTAGATTTCAGAATACTATGTTTAGTAATCATATGGCATTTTAGTTATTACAGAATTTAATACCTTACCATATATTTTCTTATAGTCAAACTAGAGACCCAGGGCACAAAAATTTGTGCACTCGGGGTGGGCAGGGTCCCTCAGCCCAGCCTGTGCCCTCTCACAGTCTGGGACCCCTCGGAGGATGTCCACCTGCTGTCTTAGGCATATTCCCTGAGAGATTGGACCTAAGCTGACAGGCAGACATCCCTCTGGAAGCCCAGGAGCCCTCTGGGGATGTCCACTTTCCAGTGGGGAGCAGGCCTAAGCTGCAGTCGGACATCCTTAGCACTGCTGAGGAGGCGGGAGAGGCTCCCGCCACCACCGCTGTTCTGGCAGCTGTCAGCCTGTCTTGTGGCTGAGCAGAGCTCCCCCTGTGGGAGCGCACTGACCACCAGGGGGCATCTCCTGCATTGAGCGTCTGCCCCCTGGTGGTCAGTGTGTGTCATAGTGACCAGTCATTCCCAGTCAATCTGCTGTTAGGGTCAATTTGCATATTACCCTTTTATTATACTAGTAGCCCGGTGCACAAAATTCATGCACATTAAAAGGGAAATAATTGCCCTAACCTGTTTGGCTCAGTGGATAGAGCATTGGCCTGTGGACTCAAGGGTCCCAGGTTCGATTCCGGTCAAGGGCATGTACCTTGGTTGCGGGCACATCCCCAGTGGGGAGTGTGCAGGAGGCAGCTGATCCATGTTTCTCCCTCATCGATGTTTCTGACTGTCTATCCTTCTCCCTTCCTCTCTGTAAAAGATCAATAAAATATATTTAAAAAAAAACAAAAAACCTGCACCCCAGTAATGTGCCCTGACCCGGAATCAAACCCTCAACCTGTTGGTGTACGGGACGACGGCCAGGGCCTTTGCTGCATTTCTTAACTCAGATCAACTCCAATCATAGCTGCTGCCTCAAGAAAAAGGCACATAATGGGAATGAAACTAGACACTGAGCCAGGACCCCAAGCCCCTAAGCCTTTGCAAGTATCCAGCCTCCTCTTCGTGGATTTCATTACACCCATCGTTAGCAACCTCCATGTCCTCTTCTCATTAAAGCCACTTTCCACAAGGAACCCGTATTCTAGACAACTAAACACTACCCAAGTCTGTTTTATTGTTCTGCACTAATTTGTTAGAATTTCAGCCCTATTGTTTTTTATTTTCCCTTTGCACACGTACACTATTTTGGGATGCATAATGGATTAAAGGAGTTCTTGTGGCTTAATCTGGAAGACTATTTACTGCTCAAAATAGTGTGGCATCATGGAATAGCCCCTGGGCTTGGAATCCAGACTCTGTTCCCAACCCTGACCCTGCTGGATGGCCAGGGACAAATTACGTCACCTCTCTGGGCCTCCATTTCCTCAGCCACAATGTGAGAACAAGAGGAACCCCCACTGGATTCTGAGAAGGATTAAATAAAGCAGTGGGCATCCAACATCGTGCCCAGTATAGTTCATGCTCAATAAACAGTTTATCTAGCTGATTTGACTTACAGGGAAAATTAACAACAGACTTTCACTAGTAGAATGCAACCCATCTGTGAGATGGGAACTGCCCTGAAGAAGGCAGTTACACCTCCGCTCTCAGTTCAGGTGCTCCATCCCAGAATCGCCTCACCCAGCCAGGTGCCTGGCTCTCTTCCTCGCCTCTTCCCGTTCCCCTGGTGAGGATGGAGAGAGCGGCTTTTTAAAGGAAGCCAGGGAATGAATGTCTCCGCAGAAGCAGTTTTGCTGAGTGAGTGATTTGGAAGAGACTGGGTCACAGGCCAACAGGCTGGCACTCCCTGTGCCTCTTCCCCCAAACCCACCCAGCCCTTATCAGGGAGTTGGCTCCAGTTCTGGAACTATGAAACCTTGGACAGAGGGGGAGAAGGGAGGGGAAATTGACTAGCGGCGTCTCCTGTTTCCTGGCTGGGCCTGTGCCTGGTACTTTGGCAGGCAAGGTGGGGTGGAGGGCAGGATGGGGGTGGAGGTATTTTCCAAGGGTCCACAGGAGGGGAAGTCCTGAGAAGTCCTTTCTCCTGACTGTCTCTGGGACCCTGTGGGTTGCCAGGCATAGCTGAATTCCCAGGAAGCAGTGAGCATGTGTTCACACCAGCCAAAAGACACCAAAAGAATGAGAAAGAGAAATCTTAAGAATTTGACATTTTATATTTCCATAAAAGCCCTGAAGTATTATTATGGAGATTATCAGGACTTTAAAACTCCCTTATAGCCCTAGATGGGTTGGCTCAGTGGATAGAGCATGGGCCTGCAGACCGAAGGGTTGAAGGCACAGCTGTGGGCGTGGTCGCTGTCTCTCAGAGAAGCAACATCCCACGGAGACCCGGCTTTCATTCTCTTGTCCGTCTTTTCTAAGCCTTTCAGCTGCCCCCACTCAGGTTCACCCTTGGCCGTGCTGGCGTGGCACACTTTAGAAAGATATGCCTCCACGCTCCCAGAGCAGGTTCCTGCCTCAAACCCCACCCTTACAAGAAACAGCTCCAGGAAACAGCTCGGGGGAGGGCTCATCCGTTGCCAAGACAACCCCTGCAGGACTGACTTCCTTCAGCTTGGTCTTGGTGGTTCTGGTCGTGATGAACATCACCCAGGGTTTTTATATACGTAGATAGCATTGTTTCAAGCATATCCCTAGAAAAATTATAAACCTTTTGAGGAGAGCAACCATGTGCTATACTACTCTTTGTCTTCCTCAATACCTACTACAGCTGACATCCTGATTAACTAATTTTGTATAAGATTTAGCATATAGCTTGCAGTGTTAATTAGGATGATATATGAATGGTTATTGAATTAAATAGTTTGCTTTTGAAGCTTGATAATACATTTTGCCTATTTATCACTGCATAACACTCAATATAACACATCAGTATATTAAGTACCCATTAAAAAACTGGCATTTAGGGAAGGCAGTTGTGTGGGAACAGACTATAAGTGCATTATTTGGCATTTTCCATGACCTAAGAAGGCATACAGTCCAATTGGGAAACAATTGGAGTAGCTAAATAAATTGCCCAAAAGTACCTTAGGAATTCAGGACAAAATTAATATAAGTTGACATAGGAAAAGTGGAGGAGAGAACTTAAACTAAGCCCTGAAATATGGATAAAATTTAAATAGCTGTGTGCCAATGATAATATTGTGATCATATTAGCAAGGAGAACCTGTTGACTAGAGTAGTATTGAAGAATGTGGGTGAGAGTGGAGGAAATGAGGCTATAAACCTTAAGCATTTGCATGCAATTCTCTTTGTAGCAGGAAACTTTTGCAGATTCTTAAATAGGATGGTAATTATAGGAAACATGAATGTTAAGAAGATGAGCCTGGACAGAATGATATAAGTAGATTGTAAATGGAGGAATCTAGAAGTAGGAAAATCAACAAGGTCTCCTTACAAGACAATTGTAAGATTACAGGATACTAGAGGCCTGGTGCATGAAATTTGTGCATGGCTAGGGTCCCTAGGCCTGGCCAGCGATCAGGGCCAATCAGATTCTCCACCTCCCTGCCTTCCTGCCTCCTTCTTCCCTTTCCGCCAGCACTGCCACTGTGTGGTTCCCCCCACAGCCTTCCTGCCTCCCTACCTCCCCGCCTTGCCTCCCGCTGCCACCTCATGATTCCCCCTGCCTCCCTGCCTCCCCACCTCCTCCTTCCCTCACTCTCTCAGTGCCCTACCACCTCCCCTGGTCACCCACCATGTTCTGTGCCACCCCCTGGTGGTCAGTGCACATCATAGCCAGTGATTGAACTCCCAGTCTCACAGTCAAACTCCCAAGGGGACAGAGCCAGGGAGTTAAAGAGGGAGAGAGAACAAGATCTGTTTGCTGTTCTACTTATTTATTCATTCATTGGGTGATTATACCAGTGATATAACCAGCAACCTTGGCGTATTGGGACCATGCTCTAATCCACTTAGCTACCTTTCCAGGGCTTGTTAAAGACATTTCAAAGTTTTGGGGGTTGGGGACTGGAGCTTGAGAGAGATGATCCCCTTATACCACAATTGCTTTCTTTTTTTCTCTTTTTTGATTCCCATTGCTACCTCTTCAGTTTCCAGTTGAGAACCTTTACTATCAATATGGGAGGCAAAACTGGGGCTTGAGAGAGATTGAGGCTGGATAAGATTTGAGAGTCATAAGGGTATAGGAGAGAGTGAATGGATAAGCTAATAACTAAGGTTGTAGTTCATAAAAGAGCAGAGGACTGAGGCTAAAGCCATTATTGAATCTGTTTAAGATTTTAGTATTAGGTATATAAAACATTTTAATGAACCATGATGATCTTTATTTGTAGACATAGTATTTTTATAGCATAATTAATTTTCTAGTTGTGTGCATTGCAATTAAATCTCTTAGGGAAAATGATTCCTTATGATATGTGCAACTGTATCAGTGTTTTTCTTTTTTTTAAATTATTCCTGTGTGTGTGTGTGTGTGTGTGTGTGTGTGTGTGTGTGTGTGTGTATTCTCTCTCTCTCTCTTTTTTTGGTTTCTGTTTTTAGAGAAGTGAGGGGAAAGAGATTGGTTAAAACATTTTTTGTTAATCCTCACCAGAGGATTTTTTCCCATTGCCTTTTAGAGATAGTAGAAGGGAGGGAGAGAGGAAGAGAGGGAGGGAGGGAGAGGAGGGCAAAGAGAGAGAGAGAGAGTTGAGAGAGACACATCAATTGGTTATCTTCCAAATGCTCCCCAACTGAGGCCAGGGATGGAATCTACAACCTAGGTATGTGGCCTTAACCAGGAATCAAATCCCGGACCCTTTTGTGCATGGGCCGATGCTCTAACCACCAAAAACACCCGCCAGGGCAAGAATGGTTAAATCTTTCTTGATCATTTATGAATTTGAAATGGTTTTATGCTTATTTTCACTTTCCTTTGTCAGTTCAATTGCTTTCTTTAAAAGAATATATTTGTTTCTACAATGTGTTTATTTCCAAATTTCTTTGGTAACTTAACCAAATCCAACAGGACTGAAACAAATTGGTTGGTTTCATTTGCTACAAGTCATCTACCAATTGAGTTATATATAGTAGGGTACTAGAAGTATACTTCTTTAAGTGACTTAGTTCTTTTGCTCCTATTTTGATGTACTGTCATGCAGATCCTGTATGATTTGATGATCACGTATTACAAGTCTCTAACTTGTGCTAAATTGATTGTTTGGTTTTTGTTTGTTTTAGTTTGAAATGCTTACTGGTACACTGCCATTTCAAGGTAAAGACAGAAATGAGACCATGAATATGATATTAAAGTAAGTGTAAGCACTACGTTATTTTCTTATGGGAAGAATTTCTTGCTTTCAGTTTTTTCTTTATTTTATTATTTTTTTCTATCACCATTTATCCCCCTTATATGCTCTTCTACCTCCACCCCACCCCTCCCACAACCACCACACTGTTGTCAGTGTCCATGAGTTTTTCCAGTCTTTTTTTCTTTTTCACTGAATCTCTTCACCACCACCGCAAGCCCCGCCCCACACTGTCAGCCTGCTCTCTATGAGTCTGTCCCTATTTTGCTCATTAGTGCACTTTGTTCATTAGGTTTCACATATGAGCAAAATCATATGTACTTGTCTTGCTCTGACTGATTTCACAGCGTAATGCTCTCTAGGTCCATCCTTACTGTCCCAGAAGACAAGATTTCCCTTTCCATTTTTTTATGACAGAGTAGTATTCCGTAGCTGTTTTATCTACTCATCTACTGATGAACACTTGGGCTGCTTCCAAATCTTGGCTAATGTAAATAATACTGCAGTGAACATAGGGGTACACATTTTTTTTTTCAAATTTGTGTTTTGGGTGTCTTCAGCTAAATTCCCAGAAAGTGGAATCAATTGGTCATAGGGCAGTTCCATTTTTAATTTTTTGAGTTTACTCCATACAGCTTTATACAGTGGCTGCACCAATCTGCATTCACACCAACAGTTCACGAGGGTTCCCTTTTCTCCACATCCTTAGCAACACTTGTTGTTTGTTGATTTGTTGATGATAGCCATTCAAACAGGTATGACATGATATCCCTTTGTGGTTTTAATTTTCATTTCTCTGATGATCAGTGATATTGAGTATCTTTTGATATGTCTATTGGCCATCTGTATGTCCTCTTTGACAAAGTGTCTATTCAGTTCCTTCACCCATTTTCTAATTGTATTGTTTTGTGTTGTTTGTTTGTTTTTTTGATTTTGTGTTTTAAAGTTCACTATAAATGTTGGATATTAAAGCCTTAGCAGATGTATCAGCAAATATGTTCTGCTGTTCACTGTGTTGTCTTTTCATTTTGCTGATGGTTTTCTTTCCTGTGCAAAAACTTTTTAGTTTGATGTAGTCCCATTTGTTTATTTTTTCTTTTGTTTCCCTTGCCCAAGGATATATATCAGAAAAAATATCACTATGAGAAATGTACAAGATTTTACTGCCTGTATTTTCTTCCAGGATTTTTAGGGTTTCAAGTCTAACATTTAAGTCTTTTTAAAAAAATAAATATTTTTTATTGATTTCAGAGAGGAAGGGAAGACAGAGAGATAGAAACATCAATGATGAGAGAGAATCACTGATCTGCTGTCTCCCGCACACTCCACACTGGGGACTGAGCCTGCAACCCAGGCATATGCCCTGACCAGGAATCCAACCACAACCTCCTGGTTTCCTGGTTCATAGGTCGATGTTCAACCACTGAGCCATGCCAGCAGGGCTAACATTTAAGTCTTTAGTCCATTTTGAGTTTATTCTTGTGTGTGGTGTAATAAAGTGGTATAGTTTCATTTTTTTACATGTATCTCCTAATTTTCCAGGCACCACTTATTTAATAGACTATCTTAAGCCTATTGTATGCTTTTGTCTCATTTGTCAAATATGAATTAATTATAAAGGTGTGGATTTATTTCTGAGCTGTCAATTTGGTTCCATTGTTCTATACTGTTTTTATTTCTTCTTATTTTTTAAAAATTTATATTTCTTGTGGAAAGTATTACAGATATCTCGTTTTTCCCCATTGATCCCTTCTAGCCTGCACCTGCCCCCTGCCCCAGGCCTTTACCATACTAGTACTATTGTCTGTGTCCATGGGTTATACATATATGCATATAAGTTTTTTGGTTAATCCCTTCCCACCCACCCACTCCCATCTTCCCTCAGATTCAACACTCTGTTCCATGCATTTATGTCTCTGGATCTATTTTGTTCATCAGTTTATTTTGTTCCTTAGATTTCCACTTATGTGTGAGATCATGTGATAGATGTCTCTTTTTATGCCAGTACCATGCTATTTTGATTACTATGGCCTTGTAATATAGTTGATATCAGGTAGTATGATTCGTACAACTTCGTTCTTCTTTCTCAAGATCACTCACTGTTGCTATTTGGGGACTTTTATGATTCAATATAAATTTTGGGATATTTGTTCTAGTTCTGTTAAATACGCTATTGGTATCTTAATAGGAATTGTATTCAATCTGTAGATTGCTTTGGGTAACATGAACATTTTAATGATAGTCATCCTTTCTATCCATTAACACGGTATATGTTCCCACTTATTTTTCTTCAATTTCTTTTTCCAGTGTCTTATAATTTTCTGAGTACACATCTTTTGCATCCTTGGTTAAATTAATTTTTAGGTGTTTTATTCTTTTTGAAGCAATTGTAAATGGGATTGCTTTCTTAGTTTTCCTTTCTCATAGTTCCTTTTGGGTGCATAAAAATACAACTGATTTCTCAATATTTATTTTGTGTCCTGCTACTTTACTGAATTCATTTATCAGTTCTAGTAGTTTTCTGGTGGTGTATTTAGGGTTTTCTATATACAGTATCATGTCATCTGCAAATAAGGACAGTTTTACTTCTTTCCAATTTAGAAGCCATTTATTTCTTTTACTTGTGTGATTGCTATGACTGGGACTTCCAGTGCTATGTTGAATAAGAGTGCTAAAAGCAGACATCTGTCTAGTCCCCAATCTTAAGGGAAATGCTTGTAGTTTTTGCACATTGTGTATGATGTTGGCTGTGGGTTCGTCCTTTATGGCCTTCATTACATGTGGTATGTTTCCTCTATTCCCGCATAAATGGGTGCTGGGTTTTATCAAGTGCTCTTGCTTTCAGTTTTGAGAAACTTGTGGATTTAAATTGACACAAAATAACATTTTCCACACTGTCTTATTCCCTTCTCCTATGCTATGGGGGACATTATTTACCACTGTGAAAACATTCCTTAAAATTATTTTTGAAATTTGTAAATTTAGAAGTGTGGCTAGATTTTAATGAAATTTTCTAAAATCTTCTTTTCCAGAGCAAAACTTGGAATGCCTCAGTTTCTTGGTGCTGAAGCACAAAGTCTTCTAAGGATGTTATTCAAAAGGAATCCAGCAAATAGATTGGGTATTGCTTATTTTCTTAGCTTTTGTATCAATATACTGCAGGCTTTGGGATGATAATTATAACTTTATGTTTTCTGACATAAGTTCTTTTACTACTGCTATCTATTTATACCTAGAACTTTGCATTTTGTATATGCAATGATTCCAGTAAATTCTGTATGTCTATGATTTAAAAATAGAGTGGTCTAGTTATTCAATATTTCTGTTTAATATATATAATTATATATCATATGCATTCATTTTTTGAAATAGTTCACAGAATTGTATAGGTAATCTTTTTTGATATTTGAAGATAATTGTTTTGTCCTTCCAATATTATTAAATGTAAATATTATGTTTCCATAACTTATTACTTGGCCACTTTCAGGTAGCCTTACCCTGGACCCAGATGTAATCCTTTCATCTATCCTATTTATGACCTTATGTTAAATTTTCAATGTCACTTTATTATGTTGTACTTTTATTTTGACCTATAGATATGAGGTCATAGGTTCAACTATGAAGAAAATGTACCTAAATTCAAAGTTGTATTAAACATGATTTTGATTCGATTTGGAAGGCATTTCAATATTTCATTTTGTTCTATGTGCTTCAATTTTTTTCACATTAAATTGAAAGAAGCAATTATAATAAACGATCATATGAGATGTCTTAAACCTTTCACTACAAGGAATCGATAAAGTGTGTGTATTGCTCTTTATAGATCACAGCTTAAAAGCCAGGTATAAAGATTTTAAAAAATTACACCAGTAAAAAAGTCTTTCTGTTTTTATAGGTTCAGAAGGAGTTGAGGAAATCAAAAGACATCATTTTTTTGCAAATATTGACTGGAATGTAAGTTCACTAGAAAATTTGTTACTGAGTAACTTTAATATGAGCAAACGCTGAAGAGTAAATTGTAACATATTGACTTTGCTCGTTAACTAAATTCATTTGTTTTACTAGTATGGGATTATTTTTATTGGGGCAACATTGGTTAATAACATAAGTTTCAGGTATGCAACATTATAATTTGATATCGGTATACACTATAGCATTCTCACCATCAAAAGTCTAGATTCCATCTGTCACCATGTAATTAAACCCCTTTACCCATTTCCCCCTCCACCCACTTTCCTTCTGGTAACCACTAATCTGTTGTTTGTATGTATGAACTTGTTGTTTTGTTCATTTTTTAATATTTCAGTTATGAATGAAATCATAAGGTTTTGTCCTTTACCACATGACTTATTTCATTTAGTATAACCCTCAATATCCATCTGTGTTGTTCCAAATTCATCCACACATCTTATAGTTCAAGGTAATTGTTATGATATGCTACCGCTTTAAGTAAAATTACCGGGAACCAGTAAATGTGTGGATGATATTTAGTAAGTTTTTGTTTCTCATTTATTTTACCTGTTAAGTATGTGCTAACAGGTAAAATAAATTCTCCCCTATTCTAGGTTGGAGAATGTAGAGGAGGAAGAGAAGGGGAAAATGGATGAATGATAGAGCAGTTCTTATAGAAAATTAATTCTAAAAAAATCTAAGATGTTATTTAATTTCAATTGGTTCTTTGTCATGTGTTAGGAAAAATTACATTTCTTAATAAGTGAATGTTTTTGTACAGATATTTCACTAAATTTTGAGAGAACATGAAAATAGAAACATGCAAATTTCTATTGTCTTATAAAGAATTTTTTAAAGGTGCAACTCTTAAACTAATATTTTTTTCTTAGATAAACCCATTTTGTTGTCTGTTTTACAAATTGCTTTATGTATTTTATGGGCTACCAATAATCATAGGTGTTTTTTATTTTCTAGTTCTATTATTGGTATTGAAATATTTTTCAAAAGAAAAAAATCTCTTAAATTCTAAGGCATATACAGAGGGCCACTATTAACTGATTAAATCATTGTTACATCTGGCTTATGGAACATGTTTTAGAAGGCTATTTTTATTTTTTGTGGAAGTCATTAGTATTAATTCCCTAAATCGCCACTCAATTACATAGTACATATGAGTTTCCTTTCATATATCTGTTGCATGCCTCTTTTGGTGTCTTGTAACTCCTTGTAACTTTTTTTTTTGTAATGCTTCTCTATGCTTCCTTTTTTTTATACCTAGAGAAACTGGAAATTTTTATTTTCCATCATTCTTTTTTTCATGTTTATTGTATTCAGAGAAGAAGAGAGAGGGAGAGTTAGAAACATCAATGATTAGAGAGAATCATTGATTGACTGCCTCATGCATGCCCCCTACTGGACATCGAACCAGCAACCCAAGCATGTGTCCTTACTGGGAATGGAGAGGAGACTTCCTGATCTATAGGTTGATGCTCAACCATTGAACAACACCAGCCGGGCTCCATCATTTTTATATCTAAACAGTTTATATTCCTTGGTCTTAATTTAAATAAAAAAGACTGGAATGTTTATGTAAATATAAATGAAAATTGTGGACATAAGAGAAATGGAAGTGTGTGAGATCCCCTTGGCCTCTCCCAGTGAAATTACAACAAGTAAACCAATTATAATTCAACAAAGAATTCCCTGCTCAATACAGAGGCCTGCTTGAGAGACCTGCACATAGAAACATCTAAAGGTGTGCAACCGGGAATAAACTGGGATATGAGAAGGGAGGAAAGCACAGATACAGCCCTGCAGTGGGGAGCTTGCAGCGCATTCTGGAGAGGGGAGGAACCCAGCGGTTGCAGGCGCTGCCTGTGGCCTGGAGGAACAGAGAATTGCAGGGTGCAGTCCAACAGGCAGAGCAGCGAGGAAATGCCTAACAGAGCACTGGGTTCTGTTCTGTAACCTTCTAATGTTGGGCAGGACAGTGGTGTTTCTGACAAAGAAATAGAATCACAAAGCACTGTGGCCATTTGGACTCCCTAAATTCTCCTCCCCTTGCTCTTGGATTTGGGTCAAGGATAACATTATCTGTAAACCAAGATCTATTTCAGCAGAACTGCTGTTTCCCTCTGTAATGATCCCCAGATGGGGTGCTTGGGGCAGGACCCCAGGGAGATCAGGGTTTGCCATTATGTTGAGGACAAAACCAACCCCACCCTCCAAGCTTTGCAGCTGTACAGTCTTAAGGAAACCCTGGGTCAAAACTAGGAGATCACAGAGCTAAAAATTCTTACAATTCAGCACAATCTACTGGAAAATAGTAGAAAAGCCTCTTCAGAGGAAGCTATTGTCCGCCATTAATATGGACAGATATAAATGACTAGGCAAAGAGAACAGCAAATACCATGAATAATCATGGTAACAAGGATGATCAGAAAGAAAATGAACAATCTCCCAAAAGCAAACTGGGACACATGGAAAGATGTGATATAAATGTCAGATTTCAAGATTTCAGTTCAGAAAATACTCAATAGGATATGAGCAAATAGACAGGAATTCAATGCCCTCAGAAAACAAATCAATGAACAAAACAAGTACTTTACCAATGGGATTGAAACTTTAAAAAAGAACCAATGAGAAATCCTGGAAATGAAGCATTAATTAATGAGTTTAAGAGTGAACTACTGAGCATAGAAAACAGAGCCAACCAGATGAAGGAAATAATTAGTGATATCGAAGAGAAGAATCTAGAAATGAAGCATAGGGAAGAAAAGAGAGACCTGAGCATAAAGAAAAATGAAAGAGGTCTACAAGAACTATCTGACACCATCAGAAAAAGAAACATTAGAATAATAGACATTTCAGTGGAGGAAGAGAGGGAGTTAGCAATAACAGAGAGTCTATTCAAACAAATAGTGAATGATAACTTCCCAAACCTATGGAAAGAACTAGCTCCTTAAAGCCAAGAAGCAAATAGAGCACCTAGTTACCTCAATCCAAAGAGGTCCTCTCCAGCGCTCTTCATATTAAAACTGTCAAAAATTATTGACCAATGAAAAATTCTCAAAGCAGTCAGGGAAAAGAAGTAAGGGACTTACATAAGAAAACCCATCAAAATTTCATCAGACTTCTCAGCAGAAACTATACAAGCCAGAAGAGAGTGGGAGCAAATAGGCACAAGTCAGAAAGAGAGAAATTACTGGCCACAAATAATATATCCAGCAAAATTTTCCTTAGAATATGAAAGAGAAATAAAGATGTTCCAGACATATAGAAATTGAGGAATTTTATCACCAGAAAACATCCATTGCAGGAAATGCTCAAGGGCTTTATTGTATCTGAAACAAAGAATGTAAGATCACAACACTATGAGTAAGATCACCAAAAACTTACAGCATAAACAGGCATAATTTGTGAGAACAAAAACATAAAAGGGGAGGGGGTAAAAGTCTAAGCTGGCATAGGAACATGAAGATGAGATGCACTTAAAAAAAAAAAACTAAGGTATATATGAAACTTTACTTTTTAGAAACCTAATGGTAACCACACACAAAATTCCCAAAACAGGACAGAGCTTTAAAAAATTTGGAAACAGAGGAAAGAAGTATGGAATACCACCAGACAAAAACACACAGACAGAAACACAAAGGAAAAGAACCAATGAAGGAACAAAGCTATCAGAAAACAAAAGATAAAATGGTTATTAGACATTCTCATACATCAGTAATTACCCTAAAGGTAAAATAAATAGTATAAATTCACCAAGAAAGAGACACAGAATAGCAGAGTGGATAAATAAAACAAAATCCAACCATATGATGCCTATAAGAGACACATCTAAGCTGCAAAGACAAAGGTAGGTTCAAAGTAAAAGGGTGGAAAATGATTCTCCAAGCAAATAAAATCTACAGAAAAGCAGTTATAGCCATATGTATATGTGTCAAAATCGATTTCAAGATAAGAGACAAAGGTGGACACTTTATAATGATAAAGGGAACACTACATGAAGAAAAAATAATATTCCTTAACATACTAGAAGCCCAGTACACGAAATCGTGAGGCCCCGCCCAACCACGTGCCTCGCCGCGCCCACCTGTCCACTCTCTTGCTTGCTTGCTGGCCACCAGCCTTGCTGCAATCAGAGCCTATGGGCCACACCATGTGAGCCGAAATCGTGTGAGACCCCAGACCCACCACATGAGGCGGGACCCCAGACCCCAGACCCCAGACCCTCCGCACAAGGCGGGACCCCAGAGCCCAAACCCGCCACATGAGGCGGGACCCCAGATCCACCACGAGAGGTGGGACCCCAGACCCCAGACCCACAGCATGAGGTGGGACCAGACCCCAGACCCCAGACCTGCTGTGCGAGGTGGGACCCCAGACCCCAGATCCGCCATGCGAGATGGGACCCCAGACACCAGACCCACTGCGTGAGGCGGGACCCCAGACCCCAGACCTGCCACATGAGGTGGGACCCCAGACCTGCCGCGCCACGAGACCCATCAATGCACCTCTCAGTGACCGATTGTGTGGTCATTATGGCATTACGGTCACAGGCCTTTTATAATATAGATATGCACCCAACCAAGGACCACCAAAATATATAAAACAACTACTCACAGAACTGTAGGGAGAAACAGATCAAAACAAAATCATAGGTGAGGACCTTAACACTCCATTGACAGCTCTAGACAGATCAACCAAACAGAAAATCAATAAAGAAATATTGGCCTTAAATGAAACACTAGACCAAATGGACATAGTTGACATTAACTCAACCTTTCATCTCAGGATATCAGATTATACATTCCTAAGTGCACATGGAATTTTCTCAAGGATAGACCATATATTGGGTCACAAAACTAGCATCAACAGATTCAAGAGGCTTGTAATCATACTAAGCATATTCTCTAATCATGATGCCCTGAAATTAGAAATCAACTGCAAAAAGGAAGTAAAGAAACCCCCAAATCTGTGGATATTAAACAACATGC